TCTCTTCAACTTACATGTACTATCTATTTTAGTTGTTGCTATTGTTGGTAGTCCTCAAGTGATGCTGTTTCTGTTATTTAGTACAGTTCTTTGTTTGTGATTCTGTAGGATGCTGAGAATACTATAGACCAAACATGTGAGCAATGACAAAGTTATAGAGACAATGGAAACAGAAAAAATATAATTACACATAAAAGAGACTGTTGAAAATTTTAGGGCAAATAATGAGGAAAGAGGTCTTGGAAAATTTGATACTCACAGGACAGATGGAAGGCAAGAGAGAGGAAAACAACACATAACTACCTAGTGGGACATCTCGATGTAGTGTAATGGTTAGCAAGCTTGTTGGGCTAGAGCAATTATGATTGTGATATGTCCCGGAAAGTGATATATTTGTTCAAAGTAGAAAAGTAGTTTTGGACTACTGTAACCGAGTAAGACAATCTAGCAGGTAACCATAATGGACTGGTCCTTGTCGTAATGGTAGGCAATAGGCATAGGCATTAGGTGAAGACAATAGGTATCATCAATAGGCATCCTCTTGTACCTCCACATCAGTCTGTATTTATGGCTGACACCAGCCAGTCATATTACTGTGAGGGGGAACCCAGATGTATGCATATTCATTACATCAGATCGAGTAGTGAGTTCAATCCTCACTGGGTGCCTTATACTTTCAGGCTTGTGCCACATCTAAGTTATGTTTAAAAATATACTATAATCTACCTACTGCGCTTGAGTAAATGGATGGCAGAACAAGATTTAGGTGAGATAACACAAAGATAAAATAGGAGCTCCAAAGGACAGGAAATTGTGGAGAGCAGTGATTGCCAACCTCTTGAAGGGACACAGTACATTCAGGATGTAATGGGTAAATTGTTGCTATTTTATATTTTTAATCTTGCTCATGTGTGTTTTTGATTTTGTCAACTGCACAGTTTTGTAGGGTCAGTTGGACAGCATTTGTTAGAAAGAGAGCACCATGACACAATTCACTCTTTGGAAATGGTATGCTGTACTGCTTGAGATTTGTGCTGGAAACTTCAATATGAACATTTCAGAGTATTTGTGTGTCAATCTGAGAAAAGTGCAGAGTATTCAGAAAGAGTTGGATGAATCTAATATCTCTTCTCACTTCCTAAATAAGAATGGACTTGAAGTGACAGAAATGTGTTTGGAGGGATCACTAATGATAGGGATGTTATGGCACCATTCATCTTCCCACAGGGCCCCAGACTCAACACAGGAGCCTACATCATGTGCCTTGAGGAGGTAGTGCTGCCTTGGGTCAAGAGGATAGCTGATGGAAGACCCTATTTCTGGCAAGATCCAGTGATGGCTGTCAAACAATTTCTGCAACCATATCATCCTTTACATTTGGCCACATAACTTTGTAAACTGCAACACCGTTAATTATTATGTGTGGAGCAAAGTTGAACAAGAGACCAACAAAATTCCTTGTAACACCAAAGTTGACCTGAAAGTAAGGATTATGGCAGCATTCTGGGGACCATGGTTGAAGACAATGGCGATTTTATTGAATATATTTACTCTTTCGTATTTCAAGATATTTCTGTGTAATTTTGGTAAATATATCTGTTAAAATGAGATGTCAGTGTTAGTTTCATTTTTGTGTTAGTTTCATTTTTTTTTTTTGTGTCATTTAGACGACAATTTATCCATCGCACCCTGTATATCTGTTAAAATGAGATGTCAGTGTTATTTTCATTTTTGCGTCATTTAAACGACAATTTATCCATCGCACCCTGTATATGTTAAAATGAGATGTCAGTGTTAGTTTCATTTTTGTGCCGTTTAGACGACAATTTATCCATCGCACCCTATCAAACAAGAAGAAGAAGAAGAAGAAAGGGACATCTTAAAGCTGAATACCTGACCTATTTCAGATCTAATTAAAAATGACTGGTCCATTTTTATCTTAAGGAGTGGGCATTTATTCCTTTTACTTTGAGCAGGAATAACAGGTAACAAATTATTCCGTTCCACTGCATTTATGTCACCCTCAAAAAATCCCACTGAGCTGATCTCGTTGGCTTGTACAAAGGTTTACTTTTTTTTCCCCAAATTTACTAAAAAATGTGTCATTAACTGGAATTAAATCTATCTAGCTGGAGAAATGTAATTTGGGTTGGAAGGAAGAAAGAAAAACCCAGGCAAAATGGATCAAGGTTAATATAATGTTAGAAGGAATGAGAAAAAACCAAAGTGAAAAAAGGTAGAATGAAAGAGAAGTAATGAATGAAAGAAAGAAGTAGAAGAAGAGAATAAAAGAGTGAAATACAATCGAAAGTAAGAATGAAATAAAGGAAAGTAAGGAAGGATGGAAGAACAAAAAAGGATAGAAATCTTCTGAAGGAAAAGAATGAAGGAAAGAGTAGAAATTTGAGTAATTGAAGGAAGAAAAGGTACAAATGAAAGATAGAAGAGAAGGAATGAAGGAAAGGAAAAAATTGAGAAGAATGAGAGAGCACAAAAAGAGAAAAGGCTGAAGAATAGAAAGAAAAAGAATTAAGAAAGAAAAAAGGGAGGAATAAAAAATATGGAAGAGAATAAAAGGGTATTATATCCTCAGAATTAACAAGGGGAGATAGGATAAAGAATTAAAAAATAGATGGAAAGTCACCAAAAAGAATGAAATAAAGGAAAGACAGAATAGAATAAATGAAGAGAAAAAACTGGAAAATAGAAAGATTGAAGGAAGAAAGAAAAAAAGAGGAAAAAATTGAAAGAAGAAAGAAAGGGTGAAAAGTAGTGAGTAATGAAAAAAGGGAAGAAAGGAAAGAGTGAAGAGAATTAAGGTAGAATGAAAATGTGGGAAATAGTGACGAATGAAAGAGTAGAAGAAAGGAAAGAAGAAAAAGATTTAAGAAAGAAAGAAAGAAAGAAAGAAAGAAAGAAAGAAAGAAAGAAAGAAAGAAAGAGAGTTATGTAAATGGAAAGAAAGAAAGAAAGAAAGAAAGAAAGAAAGAAAGAAAGAAAGAAAGAAAGAAAGAAAGAAAGAAAGAAAGAAAGAGAGTTATGTAAATGGAAAGAAAGAAAGAAAGAAAGAAAGAAAGAAAGAAAGAAAGAAAGAAAGAAAGAAAGAAAAATAGAGTCATGACAGATGGGAAGAAAAGAAAGAAAGAAAGAAAGAAAGAAAGAAAGAAAGAAAGAAAGAAAGAAAGAAAGAAAGAAAGGAAAATAGAGAGTCATGAAAGACAGGAAGAAAGGAAAGAGAGAGGAGAATGAAAAAAGAAAGAAAGAAAGAAAAACAGAGAGCTATGTAAATGGAAAGAAAGAAAGAAACAAACAAACAAACAAAAGCAGGAAAATAGAGAGTTATGAAAGATGGGATGAAAGGAGAGAGAGAGAGGAAAATGAAGAAAGAATGAAAGAACAGAAAGTAGTTAAAAAAATAAAGGAAGGAAATTATAAAAGAGAAGGAACAAAGAAAGCAAGAAATTTTAAATATGAATTCTTTCATTTCTAAAATTTATTGCCATTCTTTGTAAAGAAAGAAAGAAAGAAAAGAAAGAATGAAAATAGGGAATTTTTTAGTCAGAACATAGAAAGAAATGAAGAAAGATGGAAAAAAGAAAAGAAAAGAAAAGAAAATGCAAAGAAAAGCGAAAATATTCAAAACCAGGAACTGAATGGGTTGTTGGGAACAAAGGAATATTGGAATAGAAATTTCTTAAGTTGTCTTCATTTTGTTGATATTTCAGATCATTTAAAACCCTTATCCTTGGAAGATGACATTTTGGGCAACACCTTATTCGCAAATATGTATGCTTGAAGGTGGATGAGCAAAAACAAACATAATTAACTCTGTATAAACACTTCCATTCAGATATACGCAAATACATGAAAACTGTGCAAGTATACTGTAATCATAACGTACACAGAGATAGATATATATGTAGATATGCCAAATATACAAAAAAAAATTAATAACAGGCGTATAACTGTATTTTGAAACATATGTACCAGGATTTATTAAATACTTTAGCAATGATCACAGGACTTGTATTAAAAATTTTGTAACAGATTTCAATAACTCTAATGTCTGCTTTAAAGATTGTTTTAATTGCAAACAAATTATATTTGATTTAATATTAAATTTTAACCTTCAAAATTAACTTTAATTATGCCATGATTGATGTCTACTGACAAAACAATTTAAATTCTGTAACTAAAAAACCGAACATGTGTGCAACATAAAAAATTTTAGAAAAAATGTAAACAAAAAGGACACATTTAACATTAAAAAAAGAGAACTGAAATTATTAATGTTGGTGGGTTGTTTTGTTTCAAGACATATCAACTTCTATGGGTTTTTTAGAGATAATAATGGTTTTAGAGGTACATGCCTTACTAATTAACCCATATATGGGAGGAGATTCATTAATTTCACAAGAGTATTTGCACAGAAATGAATATAATGAACTCAACTGGAATTTGAATTCAGCTGTCCAATTTACAATTCCATGCCATTATTCATTAAATCACTGTTGTAACATACCTACGGATGATAATGGGTATGACCTCATTCACATAAATGCAGTAGTTAATAATGTATGTTGGTCTGCAGTTGGAGATTTGTCCCCAGCTGTGCTGGTCAAACTCTCTGCCTCTGGACAGAGAGGATCCCCAGATGTCGAAGGGCAGAGTCTTATCTTGGGAAACAGCTACCTGACTTCATTTTATATGGGATCTACGAGGAATTTTTGGCCGACCATACAGGCTCAGATACCCCACATTAAATTCAGCCTTGTGCCACATGTTGTTGCATGGGACAGTTGGTAGATATCCTGCAGTTGAAGATTCATTGTGGAAATCACTTGAGTCACTTCTAGCAGTTGACTACTTCTATGCACCACTGGCGAATCTTATAGGTATTGTTCTTGTCCTAAGTATTATCGATCATTACCAACCTTCATTTGATTATTCTATTCAGTAACCTTCCCTAAATTACAACAACCACCCACACATCCAAGCTTACCTAGTATTCCCAAGAGGTCTCTCAGCTAGGTACTGACCAGGATTGACGTTGCTTAACTTTGGTGATTATACGGGAACTGGTATTTCAATGTGATGTGGCCATAAACCACAAAGTATTAAGAAACTGGAAAAATTCATTAGAAAACAAAGAGAAGAGTAGTGAACTGCTATATAATATCAGTCTTCCTATATGGCAGTGAATGCTGGACAATCACCTCACTGATGAAGAAGAAACTTGGAGAAACAGAAATGTGGTTCTACAGAAGGATGCTGAGAATACCATGGACTGAACATGTGAGCAAAGACAAAGTTTTAGAAAAAATGGAAAAAAAATGGACGGTTATACTTAACATCAGGAAGGAATAGTTGAAATTTCTAATTCACATAATGAGGAAAGAGAGTTTGGAAAATTTGATACTCACAGGAAAGATTGAAGACAAGATGAACGGAAGAAAACTATGCTGTTGAGCTTGAATAAATATATGGTGGAACAGAGTTTAGGGGAAATGACAAAAAGACAAAATTTATTAAGCAGCTTTTAATAAATAAAAGACAGAAAAATTGTGGAGAGCCATGATCTCTTATGTCCTGAAGAGATACAATCATAGAAGAAATATTAAAAATTAAAGTAGCCATTCAAGAAATAACTCATTGCCTATTTCCTAATTCTTATGCTTTTTTGGCTAATGTTCTCTCTACACAAGGCTCAAGAGCCACTGAAAGTAGTTATAAAAAGTGGTTGTTGTGTCAGTGGTAAGTATAAAGGGAACAGTTTATGCAGGTAAGCATGAAAGATAACACTTAATCCAAGACTTGAAGAGGTTAAGATCAAAATGGTCAGGAAAGCATCCTTCTGTGATTCTGTTCCACCAAACAAGTTCTTGGGAAGAAGCTATCCGAGTGGAACTTACTACCTACTAAAAAAATACAAAGGGAATGGAGGTGTTTCACTTCAGTGTATGCCTTTTTCAATTTCCCTATCTATGCCTTATGTCTTTGCATGAAACTTTCATTCACACAAGTCACATTTGAACATTAGAGTTAATGCCAGTTGAATATGGTAAGCCTTCTATCTTTGCCATTTTGGGGTGCAGAATTAATTACAACTTGGAACTAAGAATTAGGGTTAGGGTTTTTAATTCAAGTTGAAATTAGTTCCGAGTTGAAATTAGTTCTCTCACTTGCCATTTGTCTTCTGAGTTTCTGTGTCATTCTTGAAAAGTCAAAGAAGTTTGATACCAGAATGGATGGTTTTCTGCAAGTTGATACTGCCCTTTTTTATTGTCTATTTCCGTTGATTTTTATGTTGACCTATAGGACAACCATAGTGGTTTTGGTCAGTACTAAGATCGTTGTAAAGGATTTGACAGAGGAGTCTATCACAGGTTAGCAGACTACATGGAATGCTTATAGAAGATCGTGTTTGATGTTGGTGACTTCAAAGCTGTTTGTTTAATGTTCTCAAAGACTGCAAATTTAGAGAAAAAATTCTTCCAGAGAACCCTTCTCCACCCCAGTCTTCAAAAGTTTTGTTCAAATATTTGCTACGACACTGAGATCTGTACCCCCAGTTGGCTCCACCAGGGCTTGTGCCCTAGGCTTCCATGCTCACTGCAACACCCTCTTACTCATCATGTTATCAGTTAGGCACGCACAGATTTTTATCATGCAGTACACACTACTCAGCACAATGGTCCAGCATCCAATACCATCCATTTTCAGGGTTGGATGATTCAGCAAGCGAGTTGTTACACTCTAGCACTGGGTGGCAATATTTCTATGAAAAAGACTATTTTTATTCAAAGCTATGGAGAAGGAAATGGGAAACCACTCCACTATTTTTCCCAAGATGTCATGGAAACAATGAAATCAGGCATGGCTGATCATTTATGGAGGGAAAAGCATTCATCAGACCCTGTGGAATGAAGTGAAAATACCGGAGAAAGAACAATACTGAAGAGTTAGATGTCTGAAAGAATCAGCACATATGCTAGGTTATAAAGATCTCCTTAATATGTCAAGCATAAAAATAAAAATGATATGGGATCCACTAATAAAGAAAGAAAGAGAAATGATGGCAAGTCTTCAATAGTAGCAGCAGAAGAAAAGCTTCATTGAGTTCAGTCAAGCATGACAAGAAGCAGCAGCACTCAGCAACTGGCAGGTTAGGTTTAAGACTCCAATTTCTCCACAGGGAATTGTCTCAGAGGAAAATAAAATAGTGGATTAAAGTTGATTTATGAATTTGGTAATTACGTAGTAATTCTGAATTCAATCCCTGGCAGTGTTTACTTGGACTCAGTAAAAACAGGTCAAGCAATAAGTGAGCAGTACTAAAAATAAGAACCAGATGAGATATCTCTAGGCATGGTCGGTGGAACAAGAACAGTCTACAGCCATAGATTAAATATAGGATTCAGTCTGGAATTCCCTATGAGTTACTCAGATAAATATAAACCTGATGAAGGCTGGAGGACACAATTGTTGAAATGTTGTGATAACAACAACAACAACAAGGATGAGAACAATAGTCTGCATGTAAATAATGCAAATAAAGATAACTCCTCCTCCCAGAAATTCATCCAGAAATTATATCATGGATATTCATAAGGAATTTGTGGAGAGCCATGGTTGCTATGTCCTGAAATGACGTGAGATTGAAAATAATAAAATCCTTAACTATATTTTATAAAAATATAAAACCTATTGAAATTTCCATCACGGGACAACCGAAGTATGGATGATTAAAAGTGGCAAAATCCTTAACAACAAGCTTATGTTCCCAATGTTAAAAACACTGCTATATCTGACAGACAATACTTTCGTCACATTTCTCGGTTACTTATTTTATTTTTTAATGACTTTCATTGATTCTAGCTAACAATTTTTCTCACTGTTTAGTGACTAGAAATTAGATCATCAAATTGCTTGTCCTTTTTCCATATTATTGGAGATTATATCTACAATATCCTCTCTACTGAAAGAATTAAATTAAAAACCAGGCTTGATGTTAACATTTATAGTGAGACTCTTTCAACTGAGCTCAATTGATTGGAAAGTGTTCAGTGCAGTTACTGCTCGTCACAGTACACTGGTGATTGACTGTGCAAACAGACTGAATAAATAATATGCAAGTTAAGTATCCTTTAGAAAGTTTGAACAACTTAAATATTTTTATCATTTTTTTTTGAGTAGGGAATAAAATTTTGACTAGAAAGATCTTTCTTTTTAATAAAAACAATATGAGAGAGATGAAATAAAAAAAGGCAAAGAAAAAAATGAATAATAATAAATCTTTTTCACTTTTTTTAATCAAATTCATCCCAAAAAAGGCAGTAAAGCCACTAAAACGCAAGGGATTACTGAGTGTGAAAGAATTAAAAAAATAGAAACATTACTAAGGAGCGAGAAGACTGATCATGAAGACAGTAGATAATGATTGACATTGCATTTAAGTTTTTGTAGATGAAATTTAGCTGGAAAGTATGGAGCCTGAAGGGAGTTCCACAAGCAAGAAGTATGCGAAAAGAAATGGTTAGCATAGAACTTACAGTTACATCTTGCCAATATGACTGTAAATTGATGAAACCTTGTCAGCACTGAAGTACTGTGTTTAAATTCAAAAAGTTTAGGTATCATGGCAAAGAACTCATTCAAACTTTTACCATGAAAGTATTTATAGAAAAGGCATTGGGGAAGTAATTGAAGCTGAGATGCCAGATCAAAACCAATGATATTACCTGAATCTTCTTTCGACTTTGTCAAAAATCTCTAAATATATAGTCAGAGCACTGAACCATATATGGCAGCAATATTTCAAGCATGGATTAATGGCAAACATAAATATATAAGATAGATTCTGGAGAGAATATTATCAAGCACAACACAGCGAATCAACTTTCATAGCAGCTGATCAAGCAATGGATTCAATATAATCTTTCCTTTCATGTCAGCTGAGAATGTTAGCCTGAGAAGGTGCAAGGAGTTACTCTCATGGAGGTTAGCATTAGTCATGTTGATGGAAGGCTGAAAAATGTTGCTCAGATGATTACTAATTTTTTTAATCATTTCACCCCAAGCAAGGCAATAAAGTTACTGTGAAAGAATATGAGAAAAAGAAAAACATTAATAAGGAGGGAAAACAATAAACGAACAAAAATTAGGACGAATGATAACCATTGACATTGTATATATAATTTTGAAGATTAAAGTTGACTGGAAAGCAAAAGGCCAGAAGATTCAAACATATATATAAAAAAGGAATTTACCAGAAATATGCAAGTATAAACATCATCTTCTTCTATATGGTGCGTCCCTACAGAATATGGATGATCATATCTCACAAAAGCATCCTATCCTTCATAGCAATGTTTATCTTTTTACTCTCCTCTTCACCCCAGTTTCACCATTCATTTAGATACGTTTCTTAGGTGAGTTACTTGCTGCTTTGTTCTGTCCCTCTAGTCTTCAATATGCCTTGTAAGTGTCAAACTTTCCAGGCCTTCTGTTCTCATTATGTATCCCAGAAATTTCAACTGATTCTTTCTGATTTTATGTTAAACTGTCCTTTTTGTTTCCATTTTTCTGAAAAGATTCCTAATTAAATGCTTCATCCATGGTATTCTCAGCAACCTTCTCTATTGCCTTAAATCATCTCATATAATGACGTATATATATAGTTGATATTAAACAACAATTCTGTACACCTTTCTTTGTTTCTGTCTGTCCCTGTTCTGCTACTCATTCACAGAACCCCATCAAGTAGGTTATTTACTGTTTTCCTTTCACACTCCTGCCTTCAATATGTCCTGTGAGTGTTGAATTTTCCAAGAACTCTTTCTTCAGTGTGTGTCTCAGAGGTTTTAATTGTCTTTTTCTGATTTTAAGAATAAGTGTCCTTTTTATTTCCTATTTTCTTTAAAACTGATCCCATGTTCTTGTTGTGGGTGGTATATTGTCCTGCAAACAAATATTTAATAATGGAAGACAGCAACAAACAAAATGAAGACAAGTAAAAAAAATATATTGCCAAGTTTATTTTTGTTAAAAAAATACATCAACAAAAATAAGGTTACAGTGAACTAGGCAAAAAAATATCTCTGCG